AAGCTGAGAATTTGATGAAAATTAATTTTTCGAATTTAATAAATTAATATTTTTGAATTAATTTAGTTTTTGTATTTCTATATTTCTATATTTTCTATATTTTTATATTTTTATATTTCTATATTTCTTGAATTGAATCTGAGAATTCGATGAAAATTAATTTTTCGAATTTAATAAATTAATATTTTTGAATTAATGGAGGATTTCGATGGGATGTTTTCGTAGTTAATAAATAAATAAGAAAGTATGTTCGATTATGTTTCCTGGGAAAGATTTATTGGTAATTAAGATTTTCATAAAAATAGAAGAATTAAAATTTATTCTCGAGGAATTCAGGATCGTGAAATTTTGCAAATTTTTCTGTCGAATTGGGAAGAATTAATTTAAATTTAGGATTGCGAAATTTGAATTATCATGAAACACGAAGAATTGAAAGAAATTCATTAAAATAATTTGAAGAAATTGAACAATTTTATTTATCATGAAGTAAGAAATCATTAGTACAATGGAGTCATTGAAACATATCTTTTATCATCGAATCAGCAATAGTCTACTGCAGTAAATCAATTTTATCAAAATTTTATCAAAAATTAAACTAATAATATTCCTCACACTTTTATTATTTTTATAAAATTATTACATACAAAATAATCCTTCCAATTCCAATTCCAAAAATTTCACGATGTTAAGGTAACGTTAAATTTTGAATATTAGACATTTAGGATAAAAAGATACTTAAGATTCGAATATTTAATAATTAAATCCTCCTTTCTAACCATTGTGAGCGATATCAGGAATTTAGTATATGAAACACGAAATTAATTTGAAAAATACTTAAGATCCGCATATTTAAGAAATTTAATCGCATTTTCTGTGTATCAGAAGCAATATCGCGAACTTGATATACATAAAACACTTAATATTAGAAAACATTTAATATTCGAATATTCACGAGTTCGGTCGCACTCTCTGTTCCTCAGAACCGGTGTCACAAATTTGTTACATAAAGCACGAAATTAATGCAACAAATATTTAAGATTCGAAGTTTTAACAGTTCGATCGCATTCTCTGATCATCAGAAGCGATTTCGCAAATTTGATACCTAAAACAAGCAAAGAAATTTTTAAAAAGTTTGGTTACACTCTGTGGTCATGAAAACTAAGTACATGGAACATGCGAATTAAATACATGGAATACCAAAATAACTAGGAAAATATTTAAGATTCGAATTTTCAACAGTTCAATGGCACTTTGTATCTATGTACAAGAACTACGTATAAGAAGTATATGGAACACGAAATTAATTAAGAAAGTATTTAAAATTCGACTTTTAAGAGTTCCATCGCACCCTGTGTCTATGTATAAGAACTAATTATATGCAACACGAGATTAATTAAGAAAATATTTAAAATTCGACTTTTGAGAGCTCGATCGCGCCCTATATTCATGAGAACTAAGTATATAGAATACAAAATTTATTAAAACAATATTAAAATTCGACTTATAAGGGTTCGGTCGCACCCTGTGTCTATGAGGACTAAGTATATAGAGCACGAAATTAATTAAGAAAATATTTAAAATTCGGCTTTTAAGAGCTCGGTCGTACCCTATGTCCATAAGAACTAAGCATATAGAGTACAAAATGTACTCAAACAATATTAAAATTCGACTTTTAAGAGTTCGGTCGCACCCTGTGTCTATGAGGACTAAGTATATAGAGCACGAAATTAATTAAGAAAATATTTAATATTAGACTTTTAAGAGCTCGGTTGTGCCCTATATCCATGAGAACTAAGCATATAGAGTACAAAATTTACTCAAACAATATTAAAATTCGACTTTTAAGAGTTCGGTCGCACCCTGTGTCTATGAGGCCTAAGTATATAGGGCATGAAATTAATTAAAAATATATTTAAAATTTTACTTTTAAGAGCTCGGTCGTACCCTATGTCCATAAGAACTAAGTACAGTAGAGTACAAAATTTACTAAAAAAATATTAAAAATTCGACTTTTAAGAGTTCCGTCGCACCCTGTATCTATGAGAACTAAGTATATAAGACGTGAAATTAATTAAGAAAATATTTAATATTAGACTTTTAAGAACTCGGTCATACCTTATATCCATGAGATCTAAGTACATGGAGCACGAAATTAATTAAGAAAATATTTAAAATTCGATTTTTAAGAGTTCCATCGTACTCTGTGTCTATGTATAAGAACTAAGTACATAGAGCACGAAATTAATGAAGAATATATTGAAGTTTGGAATAATTAAGGGTTTGATCGCGTTTTATGGCCATCAGAAGCGGTGCCGCGAACTTGGTACATGAAACCGGACTACAGCGCCATTGGAGTTCCGGCGGGCGCACTCTCACCCCCGGCCACACTTTCACCGCCCAGCTCGCCTTGGAGCCCCGGGGCAGCAGGAAGTAGCATCAGCACCGCCACTTCCTCCAACCCTTCCACGGTCTCCACCCCGACCCTTGGCCAGCCGATTCAGGACCGTTTCAGCGCTTTCACCCTCGTCTCGACCTGCAATCCCGAGGCGAGGTTTCAGAATATACCGTTCACCAATACCAACGCTGCTCGAGGTAACCTGATAATTTCTATATTACAGCATTTTCGTGTTTAATCACATATATTAAGGTTTAATATTTGTTAAACAATGCAATCTATTTTGGAAAAATTTATTAACTTTTTTAAGTAGAAGTTATTGACTTCAGTCGAATTTTGATATTTAAAATCTCAAAGAGGATTTAAAATTTTTAAATAAAATTTTTATATATAAAAGTTTGCTTGACAGTTGGAATTTTGTGTATCATGAGGGATTAAAACAAGAAACATTCTATTTTTTGAAATTCTGAATTAGTTAATTTTTTAGTAATTTATTAATAATAAATAGAAATTATTGATCTTATTCGAATTTTGATATTTAAAATTTCGAAAGAGAATTAATAAATATATTTATATATAAAAGTTTGTATGAGAGTTGGAATTTTTTTCTATCCTATGGAATTAAAACAACATCCTATTTTTTGAAATTCTGAATTAGTTAATTCTCTAGTAATTTATTAATAATAAACAGAAATTAGTGACCTTATTCGAATTTTGGTATCTAAAACTTCGAAAGAGGAATTCAAATTTTTTAACAAAATTTTTATATATAAA